GGTCAGCCTGGTAGCCCTTAACCGTACCCCACAGTGGTAACTGCTGCAGAGTAGGTTTCGGAGCACCTGCGTCCAGCAAATTACAGTGATTACTAAGCTCCAAGTTGGTCAGAAGGAGGGTACCATGCTCCTCCAACCACTCCAAAATCTCCGCCTTAGGTTAAGCATCCTTGTCAGTGCTCAGTTGTTTGTCCTCGCATGAACCACGCAAAAGACATCAAAAGACCAAAGTTGCAACTTAACATCATTGACATTTCCCTCCTGGAGATGACCATTGGGTCGTTTGGTTTTTTGATGCTGTTTGTTTGGTATGAATATGTCACATCAGTTCACATCACAATGATTCTTAATTCAGACAAGTTTTCCAATTTTTTTACCCTCCAAGCGTTTCTTTTCGCGGCATCTCTTTCCTGGTGCTTCAATGATTGTCCGCCGCCGTTCCGTCGAGCCTGGAGTGACCAAGCGAGCTCAGGCTTAAAGCGGACCAACCGTCAGAGCAAGAAGTTTCAGCTTTGGCGAGGGGCTCTTTCGCTCTTGTGAGCAAAGCCCTAGCTAGCTCTCCCTCTGGTTGCCAGGTATTGATCCATCTCGCTTCAAGATCATCCGAATGGAGGGAGCACCTTGGCTTGAAGGGAAACGATACGGCTAAGCCGCTAGCTGCAAGCGCTGTACTCTCACAATCATGGTCATATTGTTTTTCAGCTGGTGATGAAAATTGAGGTGCAAATTCGCGCCCTCATTGGTAAGGGTGGCGAGACCATCAAGGAGAAGACATGGATGCTCCATTAGATGGCATGCTCTCCAGGTTTCAATCTGTTCAATCCGGATGAGAGAGAGAGAGAGAGATTGAAGAGTAGACAATGTCTTTCATGGTGCACAAATAACAATATCTAGTCAGTATGATGTAGACATATCGATGATTGTGGACATGGATGTGTGCGACGCGGAGTTTTCTCCTGGCGTTCCCCTTTAACATCTTCAACACGACTGGCACCATGTGTGGCAGGAGATCAGACTGCGGAGTGGTGCAGACATCAAGATCGACCACTTGCCCTCGGAGCGGCGTTTCGTGCGTGTTGCTTCGGGAAATTATCTGGAGGACTCTCACCAGTAGTTACTACAGTTATGCGTGTACAAGCCCCCACAGCGAGAGCAAGAAACCTTCGTTTGTTGGAGTTGGATCTGGCCAGATTTGGTCCCGTTTTATACATACCTTTGTCATTTGGCCCGGCATGTCCTCATGGGTTGCCCTGGGCCTGGGTCATCCTATCGTCCAAAAACTATGTAAGGCCAGAAGGTGCCGATCGTTCCAGGTCAGTCGACTCACATGATGGGTTCGTTCGTTCAGACGGAAACACCGACTGAGTTCTTCCAGTTGGCGCATCTTGAAGCTTCGACTGGAGCCCCGTGAATTCAGTCCTGAGTGGACGAGTGCTATTGCACGCCATTTCAAGCTGGCACTCTCGGGAACCTACGACGGTGGATGATTTGGACGATGGAAACAGGCGAACCCAGGCTGCGGCCCTTGGATGTTTCAGCCAATGATGACCACCCTGAGGTTGGAGGCCATTGCTAGTAGGTTGGAGGCCATCGCTACTAGGTTAGAGGCCATCGCCAGCAGGTTGGAGGCCATCGCTTGTAGGTTGGAGGCCATTGCTATCAAACTCCTTTTTTTAAAACAATTTGATGACACTCCAAGAAGATTTTCAACACCCACTGACGTGTCAGTTGCATTGTAGGAACTCGGGGAGGGTCATGTAAGCTAGTGAGGTGAATATTGAAAAGACAGAATGGCTTTATCTCCGCTCCTGTGGGTTTATTCATCAGCAGTTCTTTTTTTGAATTTACTGATTTGACTGTTCATGTCTTGGGTGTGCCGCCCAGCAAGCAGATAGGACCCTCAGGGCAACGTGACGATCGTGGGGGAGGTCGAGAAGTCTGGAACTCAGGAAGAAGAATGTTAGTTGTTGTTTTTCCTCTTTTTTTCCAGATCGTTGAATCCTTGCACATGTTTGACCAATGATGTTCACAATGCAAACACACTGACACTGTCAATCACCGGGTCCTTCATCGTGAGCCCACGGTCACACTGCGTAGAAGCAGCCTTTCGACTGCGTTCAACCGCGAAGCAGTGACCGATTGACTGATGCAAAGGAGCGCTTGGTCCAAGGTTGTATGTTCCACTACAGGTCAAAAAGTTCCACTATGGCAATATCACAGCAACCACCCATCGCCTACATCGTAAGCATGTCATATCACCATCAGCAGGAAGATGGCAACCACTGCACCCACTGAGCCCAGCGTTCAGCCCATCGCTGCCCCTGCTTGACCCCCGCACGCGTCGCTCAGGACCGAGGCCATGATCAAAGAGGCCTTGGCCACCAAGGGCTGCCCATTGGGCATGCTGAAGGCGTGTTGCTCGGTGACTTCCAGGTGAAGGGCCAGGTGAAGGGCCCTTGCACTTTGCTCGAGCCATTGAGGGCCATCCAGGTGAAAACCAGGGTCCTCCAGGGCCCATGCCGAGGTGAAGCGCCCAAAGAAGGAGACATCGCGTGCTCGAACATGCTCTCTGACCGTGGGTCTTTCTTCTGGCACCTATGAGCCGAGCAAATTCTTCATCGTAAATTCATAGCGAAGGATGCAAGGATTGTCAAGCTCTTGGCGCGGTTAGGGTGTTTTAGTTCTAGGATGTGGACATGGGACTGAAGCCTTTTGTTTGACGGCTCATATGTGAGGTTGACCTTCCAGTCAACAGGATTTTGACTACGTATCCCATCCAACGCTCATCAGGATGAAGTGGATTGCTCCAAGCTGTTCAGGGTCAACAAAGGTAAATGACCCGCCCAAACCAGCCTGGGTATTGCAATTGGAGGACCTGGAATCTGGCTTTTTGCCTTTTGCAGTTGCAGACCATCTCGAGGTCACTTTTCTTTCCCACGTTCAACTCAAGTGTTCCTTTTATTGTTCTGCTTTGGGTTAACACTCTCTCCCGCTGGATGCTGGTGTTGATCCACAAGCAAATAGGGAAGAGAGAGGGTACTGGATTGCGTGATTGGCTGGATCTGCCGCCTCCAAACGTCTCCATTGTTCGCGCAGGCTCCACCCCCGCCCCTACCGATGGATGGGTGGCTTGGACCGATCAGCTTGGGCTGGATGCTCCGTTCGTAGCGATGGCCTCCACCGAAAAAAGCGTCCACCAAGGGGTCCAGAAGGAAGACTTGCAAAAGACTTGCATGTATGTTGGGTGAGATATTCTGACTCCCTCCTCCTCTCCTTCTGAAAGAAGCTTACCTTTACCAAGACAATTGGCCAGGTAGTCACACGTAGATGACCCCAGGCGACAAGTAATGAAGCTTTTGATGGCGGTCACATGATCATTTGTGCAAAACCCAGCTGAGGAAGCAACAGGTTGGAAGCTGGTTAATTTTAGGGTGAACTGGGATGCACATTGGGTTCTGCCCCACCACCACCCTAACAATTCCATGGTGGCTGAACGTTGCTAATTTCCTCGCCAGCTGGTTGCATGTTAAAACCAAATCATGCCAAAATGGGACAGAGATGGTTATATATATAATCTAACGCAGCAACCACCTGGAAGAGCTTCCCATCATTGCCTCTTAGCCTTTATGGCATGGTGGCGCTCTTTGCAAACATGCACTAGTTGGATGTGGCTTGGAGATAGGACTCAGCAATCCGCAGGCAGTCTTAGGTTTGTTTTCCGTTCGTGACATCAACAAGATTGAACAATGGGTTTACCTGATGTTTGAGGCATAGCTATATAATGCAAAAGCTCAGCTATATCTATCCCGAAGCGCAGGAGCTAAGATTCTATGATTGAGCTACGAAGTTGATCAATTCCAAGTGAAGCAAATCCCACCACCACCACTGTGCTCCTCCACCGCTGGAGCTTCAGGAATCCACCACCACCGCTGGAGCCCAACGAGAATGAAGTCATCGTGCCGGGCGATGTGGCCGGGATCTCGGCTCCGTCCGACCGCGCTCGGGCGGTGGACCGCTCCAGGCGTGTTGTGTTTGAGGTGTGTCCGGTTTGGTGGTTCTTCTAAAGCTTGATGCCTTGTTGGCCGTCCTGAGCCGCGCCACCAAGCAAAAAAAGATAGAAAAGACCCACGGGGCTTGGAGTTTTTTTCAACCAACACAACGGCCTCTTGATCCCTCTGGTCTTGTGATTTTCAAGCCTGGCGGGGTTTGACCCCTGACCGGTCTACCTCGACAAGCCCCGCCGGTCTGCCAGGTGGGCCATTTGATTGGTGTGAGCGGTGCCGGCATCAAGGCGGCGTGGAGCGATGGGATCGGGTCTATCGAGGGCCAGTTCAGAAGACCAAAGATGGAATCATGAAGGAATGAATGGATCTGGTATGGATCTGGTCATGCGAAGAAATATCAGCCCCCCCGAAAAGATCCAAAAAGCTCAGCAGTGATCCAGGGAGCCCACTTCGAGATTTTCAGCTTTGACCGATGGACACCGACGGTTTGCGAGTTCCAATGCGGCTGTCCACTGTCGGTTGGAAGAGTGCTCTATTGAGAGATGGATCAGAGCGATGGCCTCCACCCTACTTCACGCAAAAGGACTTTTTCAATTTTTTTGCATGGATTGGTATTTGCTACTGTAGAAGTTTAGAAGGCTATGACATGCGATGCTTAGGACACGACTCATCTCTGTGGGTCCCTGGGTCCCCTTCAATCATCCCAAGGACATCCGCGAGAAGGCCGGTGGCCAAGTGTCCGGAGCCCCAGGCCACCGGCGCTTTGGAAAAAGTGGGCCGAGTTGTCTCGCCCTGAAACCAGGAGCCCCTAGTAGCGTCCTTGCTCCTAGTAGCGATGCCCTTTGCTCCTAGTGGCATCCTTTCTCCTAGTAGCGATGCCAGGAGCCCCGAACGTAGCTTCTTGTCAAGCAAACAACAAACTCTTCCAAAACGAAGCAGCAGTTTGGCTCAAGCCGTCAGCAGCCGTGCTTTTTGACCGGTCCTTTTTAGTGTCTGATGACCGACTCGGAGGAGAGACAACAGGGCCATGCAGGGCTAGTTGAGGTGTCCAGTCTTTGCCATTCCCAAGTTTGTGGAATTTATATATATATATATATTATACATTCGTTTACTTGTGTATGGCTCTAGCCATCTCAGAGCCAGCCTCAACCTTGACCTGTAACAATGTAACAAGCCCAAAATATTGTTTTGACAGGGATTCCCTTTCAATCTCTTTGGGATCACTCTCGCTGTGAGTACGACCTGTTCCAGTAGGCCAGTCCACAGCCTCCATGGTCCAGGAGGTTGAGGAACGAGTGCTTGCACTTCTGAGACTTTTGAAGAAGAAGGAGCTCGTTCCTTCACTCGTTCGAACAATGATGATGCGGCATGATAATGCAGCATGATGCACGGTGCACAACGGAGGCGGATGATGCGGATCCGGCAACAGAAACGGGACAGACGTACAAACTTCAGACATTTCTTCCGTCTTTCCTTGGGCATCATGCTACAGAAAAAGCTTTCTGTGGGATCATGACACACCAACACTACTTTAAGTTGACACACTGGGACAAACATTCGCAGGATAGGAGCAATTTCTTTCCCGACAATGGGGAACATTTTGCTGTGTTTTTGGATTGAGGTCAGTCATGGGACTCCTTAGTGTTGGATGACATTTCCAAACAGTACATACATGTACATACATACAATAGCGTACAGACAGTTGCTCAACAACCCTTCTTTACTTTGATGTTGATCACGTGATATCACGTGTACATGTTGGCGCCACCTCTGTTAGTGTGAGTGAGTGAAAAACCCAGGAGGATGCCAAGATCAAAGAGGTGGGGGATGAGATCGGCGACGCGGCCTGGGACAATGAACCCTGGTTCGAGCCCGATCAGATCATGGAAATGTCCCTGAGCCGAAGACGGACGACAGAGCCGGGGGTGGAGACTGATCGGAGTTGGGTCGTTCTTTTGCGGTCTTCAGGCTTCAGGGTTCGCTTTTTAGCGGGGAAAGGTCTGCTAAAGGTGGTTTTTGGTTGAACAGCTTTGGACAATTTGGCAAAGCCTTGGCCATGAACGACTTGGGCGACACTTTTTTTGGGGCATGAAGGTAGCTGAATCACTGGGAGGGGAACGATTGGTTGCAGTTGCATGTCTATTTTTCCATCTTTGTATTCCCTTCTAGCGACCCGTTTTGAGAGAACACCGATTGACTTTTCAGCCGGTCACGCTACAAGCCCCAGGTTCAATCTCTGGTTGGATGCTTGCATTGCTGGGCGCCGCTCAACTGCAAAGCTGTAACATCATGAATGAGGGATGAGTGAAAGTGAAAGAACATTGTGCCATCCTGTGCTTTGGGGATGGGAGAGTGGTGCGCCTTTCAGCTATCCTTGGTCCATTACAAGAGCCTGGCAGCTCGGATGAGGAGCAACCTGGTTCTGAGACCACCATGGGGTCTCTCTTGTTTCGAGGTGACGACGAGGTGTTGCAGTACACGGCCAAAGCCCTGCGCTTTTCAAAGGTGGAGGACGGACGGGCCTGGGACCGCGATTTGGCCGGTTGGAGTTGCAAGGCAGTCTGGGTTGCCGGCGTCTTGTTGCAAGGCAGTCTGTTTGGCTTGCGAACCCGAGCGCCAGTCTGGGGTTCCACCCCCTGTTGTGTGGATCTCTTGAGGCCGACTCGCTGAGAAACCGAAAGAACCCCCGGAGCAGTTTCCAAAGGGCTTCAGTCTGATTGACGATGGTCCAGTGGAAGTCAGAAGCGCTCGCGTTTCAACTGGAATCTATTTGGACTGCCATGAATCCACCAGAAATACCATGAAATACCCAGGGCCTCCGAGTGGTCGCGCAGGAGTTCAGTCATAAGGACTTGCCAAAGGCGGGGCGGAGTCGAGGAGGGTCAACATGAACCACGGCGAGGTAAGGTCTTTCAGGAATCTCCAGGATAGAATAACACAACACGTGGGTGGACATGGACTTCTTGGTCACAGGTTGCAAACAATCAGTTGGGACTTGGGATGGCCTTTTGGAGGGGACGAACGATCAAACTCCCGCAATCATGGTCATCCGCAGTTTCATGGCCCGTCCTACCCTCCGACCTTTGTTTCGTCCTCGGGCGCGCGACATGCCGCGCGTGTCGCCGGTATTTTGGCACATGAAACACGGGTGACCGATAGTGACACTGAGTCTCTGAGTGAAGCTTTTGTTGATGTCATCCATTTCTGGAGATTTCAATGCCCCTGTCGTTGCCATCCAGACGAAAGCCAACCCAAAGTTCCAGTGGATGACGCTTTCGTCCTTCGTCGCCGGTGCAACCTGCAGGTTTTGAAGAAAATCTCCCAAGCCCTTGCCAAGCCTGGGGCTCCACATATGGAGACTCTGCTGCTGAGCTGACAATTCGGGCGACGCGAATCGTGTGGGTGGACATGGTGGTCGGAGATTTGATGCTTGCGGGGTTTCTTTTGATTTGTTGCAGGCTGGTAAACAGTTTTAGCAATGGAATGAGCAGTTGAACATCCGGTTTTCCAGGCTGCTGGGTACAGTACGTTCGCAAGGCGCTTGTGAAGCTTCACTGAAAAACAATTCTTTGTGTCTTCTGACATACATGCAGTTTTCTGGAGACTGACCTGACTACAACAGGGAGAGAGTCGGAGAGACCATTTGTACGAATGTAAACTGGTGGGACCGAGCAGAGTTGAGGTCCGTGAATGGATAATTGATTAGTTTTGTTTAGGGATCCCTCCTGTTGAATCTAATCGCATGATGTAATCGCAGACAAAGTTGCAAAGCACTCTGAAGAAGAACATGACACAACCACTTCCATCTCCCTCAAAAGCATCATACACAATGAACATGTTTATTGAAAGAAAAACAAGCCCAACAACCGTACCCGTCGCCGATCAAAACCGGCATGCTAATGCTGGATTCTGTTTGCCCATGGTGTTTTTTGCTCGGTCCCGCGGTCTCGGTGTTTTGATCCCTTCGAGACGCGGCGGTCCAAGGCTCCTAGTCCAGTTCACACCGATGAAGTTTACAGGTGACGTGAACTTGCACCTTGGAATGAGGGGAAAATGTGAGACCGTGAGGAGAAGTGGTATTTGAGGACTCGTTTTGAAGGGTTGCAAAAGGCGACAGTTGACAAGAGCATCCTTTTTTGGTGGCGGGTGAGTTGCTGCCATGCAAGTTAATGCCTTGTTCTCTACTTCTGCAAAGTGTTGTGACTTTAGATACAAGACAGTTGCTTTAGCATTGACATGAATTGAGTAATATAAGCTCTATTCTGATTTCGGTTGATTTTACTTGATCCACTACAGTACGCTCTAGCACAAACATAGAAGTGGAGAACATTTTATTTTTTTTCATACATAGCAATAGAGAAAACCTGGAAGCCATAACATGGCAGTCTTTCTTCGCAGCTTCAGCAGAGTCTTTTCCGTTCTTGCAGCTTCCGCGTTTTCTCAACCTTGATTTTTTCCCTGTTCAATGCGCCATTCAATATCCTATACCGACCATGTTTGTCTCAGATAAAACGCTTGCAGCTGATCGACCCAGCTCTTGCCAACTCCCTGGCAGCATTGCCAGGTACCCAGCTCTCAAAGAGCTGTTGGCACACGAGAAGGCCGACATCATTAAGGACTGATGACAGATGTTCCAGAGCATGCCGAGTTTCCCAGCTTCACCCAGATGTCCCAAGGTCGAAGGAGTCTAAGAGGTCCCAAGTTTTCACAGGTGCTGTGCATATTGGAGCAACCAACGGTTTCTGGTTGTTTGGGTGTCCAGGTAGGAATGATGACTCTATCTCCGAGTCACAGTGAGGGCTTGTTTCCCTTTCGAAAGGTGATCCATAGCGGCCCAGGCCATAGATGGCCATGAACCCAAAACCCATGCCATGTGCGACGGAAAATACCGCCTTGAGCAACATCGTCAACCTTGGGCATCAAAGGCTGCCTGAAATCAGCTGTCGGGGAAATTCAAGGACACAATCAGAACCATGGATCTGGTTACACCCTCAACCAAGCCTGCCAAGACTGAAAGCGATCTGTCCTCAATCACTGGGAAATACGTACAATCACGCCAGATCCAAACAAACATGCGTTTGCCAGATCTTTTTTGAAAAAGCGAAAAGGGGCCACAACTGGGATTCCTGATAGTGATTCCTGGGATTCCAGGCTACATCATAATGGGAAATGTGCAACCATTCTGTTCCGTTCTTTTTTCTTCGGACACCGATGCAGTGATGGTCCAGGACGCCTTGGACCAGGTGACGGGTTCCTCCTTCATTCAGTTGAACGAGTTGCCGGATGCAGAGGTGGCAGAAATCTTTAAAATGACCGTGGCACATGCGAAGCTCGTGAAGGCGAGTGGGCACATGGATGATTTTCTTGGGAAAGGAAGGGAGGTAAAAACCATGGTAAAACCATTGGAGTCTGTCTGGGATGGCACGGGAGAGACTGGGGTCTGCTTGAATTTTACTGTATCTTGACTTGACATAACTTGACTTACGGCATCGCTGTGCAACTGTTTGCCCTGTGACACTTCGTCCCGAGTCCCGACCACAAAACACTCTCGAAAGCGCTCAGAAAGCTTCGTTCAACTTGGCGACAAACACTCGAAACGAACACAACAATTCACCTACCAGGCATAGAACCCAGCTCCAACCCAATGAGCAATGCACATCCCAGCTCCGACCCAAACAATCAATTATGTAATCCCGTGCTCACCTGTCCTTCAAGCCAACTGAGGCTGACCTGCCAAAGTACAAGCCTGGAGACACGGACTCCTCAGCCAGGAGAGGGCAGGGATTTGCACGAACACCATGCAAAAGCAGAAGGAGAACAAGATGATCATATATAGTATCAATATATAGTATCATTGTGACACTGCCCAAACACATGACCAAATCCATGGCTTGGGGGACTTGTTGACTGTCTATAAGCCCTCCTTTTGCGCAGGTCCTACCCATGGCAGTCGGACGGTCTAGAAGAGCTCTTTGACCGACTCAAGCAGATTTTCCACGCTGTAGCTTTGACTCAGTCGCAGTCTGCCCTATCGGTGTCGTTTTACAGGTTGCGGAACCGCTTGTCATGGCTCAACAACCTCTTCCAGGCCATGGGAGCTTGTGTCGTGCTTTCGAACCGCTTTATACTGCAATGGACTGGTGTTAATGTGCAATGCACACAACTTCCCCCTATGTACGTAATTAACAAAATATACATACATATAATATACATACACAGACAGAATGTATCTCTCTCTCTCTCTCTATGTATGAAAAGTTGTGTGCAAATGTATAATGCATGGTACATATTTTTGACTTACCTACATATGATTCGATATTCACTGCAAATTCTGTGGATGCGTCAAAATTGGAAAGCCAGGATGCCCCTTGAAGATCTCGGAACCTTGCCACACTTGTTCCTAGCCCTTCCAGAACAATGACTCCACGCCTCCCAAAACTCGACACATCACCCTCCGAACCACGGCCACGCCGCTTCTGCTTCCAGGGCGCCTACATCTTCTGCACGATGCTCACCATCGCGGGGAAGGACTTCCCCAAGTCCCCACAGGAGATCGCTGTACCAACCCTGGTGATGGAGCTCAAGGATAGCGTGGAAGCTCTGAAGCCCAAGCCCAAGGAACAGGCGGGAAGCGACGGAAGAAGGGAACGGTAAGAAGACGGAGGAAGGGAAACTCCGTGACATGTTTGGGGAACTGTTCTAAGGGTTAGTGCGGTAGTTTAGTGTTGCTGCGGCTCAAAGATGGTTTCAATTTATTTTGAGCATCTTGCGGGACCATGTTACACATAGCTCGGGTGTCCATGAAGTGATCCCAAAATTCTCTCCAAAATATGTTAATGGCTCGCCAGATGGGGTCAAGAGAAGCCCATGTGTGATATGTGTGTGTGTGTTTATTTTTTTGCCCAGCGGGTGCATTGATCTCTCCGAAAAAACGTACTGTACCAGCCGGCTCTTCCGTTGCCGAACGCGCACACAACACGCTCACAGCTGGAACGAAACGAAAAGCAAGGGTTGTTTCAGCAGATTCCAAGCGCTGGACAACATCTTCAAAGCTGGTTCTCACAGGATGTTCTCACGAACCACTTTGCTAGTGAATGTTTTCAAAAAGATCCGCTCTTCCTTCAGCCTTTTGCACATGGGGAACTCCTCTAGGAAGGTTTGAGGTCAACGAAAAGGCCCTGAGGTCCACCGCAGCCTCAGGAGTTGAAGGAGATGATCAAACAATTTGTCGATTCATGCACAAACCTCTTGAGCTACATGCCAAAGCCTGCAGCTGGCTCCGCCGACCCCTACAAGGACCAGTTTGGTGGGCAGGTTTTTGAGGACATGAAGCTGAACAAATAAAGTAAAATATGTACTGTAGTTTTTTGCCAGGGCACAAGAACAGACGGCAAGGGGGGTGTTGAACCAAACAATGGAGCCACCAAACCAATCAATCTTTGACCGAAGTGGTGTTGAGACCTCCATGGATCCAGATACCCCAACACCCAAGCCCATTTGTGTGCCCCGCTTAATCCTGCACTCCAGGCGGAGGGAGAATTAGGGCAGAGATCCTTGCACCAGCCATTGTCCGGGGAGGGAAGTTTAATGAAGTATACAGGTTAAGATATGTTAAGTATACATATACATTGTTTGCATTGTATACTTGCAAGTTTTAACGCATGTTGCACCATTTTCTTAAGTCCGGCCCGAAACGTCGTGGTCTTTTGCAGCCGCCGCCTTTCCGCCTACGGCGTTTGTCCCCCGCCGCATGGCGGCCCGCGGACGGAGCCCAGGGCTCCCGAAGCTCCAGGATGCTCAAGCGTACCTGAAGGCATTGGGCACCGCGAAAGACTCCAACTCCTTGAGACCCGGCGAACGATGCGAAAGCGAAGAACGGCTTTCGGGTGCAGGCGAAGTGCAGGGAACAGGAGAAAGGGTTTTGCGCCGGGTGTTGGATTCTGTTAGAGGACTGGACTGGTGACTGGTCTCTGGGCCTTTCTTCTTGTCTTGGACATTGAAGGATGTGAGTTGCTATGTTTTCAGGTCAACAGTTTTGGGGATGTGACCAGTCTCACCGGTCGGCGTTTTTTTGAGCCCCGGGGCATCTCCGGGTCGGCGAGTCCCTTTCGATCATGGACCGGTCGATCGGTGAAAGACGACCAGGCTCGAGCGGCTTGGGGTTGGTGAATCCCTTGGATGTGGTGGAAGTCGATAAACATGATAAACACATAAAACAAAAACATTCTGAAAAAAGACAAGATCTTGATGTTGCCTTCCAGGATAGAGTCTATAGATTCTTTGTCGAATTAGTGCAATTTTACTGGAGGCAAGAAGTTGGTGTGGCTTGCATTGCTTATGAAACTGGAGAGGCAAGTGATTATCATTGACACCCCGCGCCTCAAGGCATAAACCAACGCTGCTCACATTTCGCAGCACTTGCGACAACTCGTTATGCCATTAGCGCCACTGGGTCACTGTCCCCTCCGAAGACCAGGTTACAGGTTCTCCAAGGTCTTCGGCCCCTCGTTGTGTTTGGGCAAAAAGACGATGGTTTTCCATAAACATGTGGTGAGATCTCTCTCCTTGCAGAGGGTTCCTGGTCCCATCATGATTGCCAACTCAGGAATGGGACCATGAAAATGATGATGAACAGCACCGACAAGAAAGTGCTGGACAGAAACACAATGAAGCGCATGATTCCGTTCGCATGGATGGCTGGTCATTGAAACAAAGATCCGACAGAAAAACAAAACAACTCAACAATGGCTTTCACACACTCTGTTGTCGACCTTGTGCTGTGTCGGGGCGTTTTCTTCAAAGACGGGCCGTGAGTCGTCGTGAGGACCTTCTGTTCTCCAAAGACGCATTGGAGACCCTGTTCAAGGCGATTCAGCGTGTGAAGAAGCAGGAGACGGATGAGCTTTACCGGACCTTTCCCGTCCCTGGACGGTTGCCAGACCGTTCGGTTTTGTTTTTTTTCGGCTCGCCGATCGATGAGAAACCTGACATAACCACTTGGTATTCCGTGGTAGTTCTGTTAATTTTTTGGAAGATGCAGATGCACATCGGACAACAGTGCTTGTTTGGAACTGGATGGAACATGATGGAACTGGTATCATCTTCGCACCTCAACCGGCCCAAACGCTGTGAGCGTTTCATTGCTGTCGAAGTCCAGTTTGGAGCTCCCCACAGGATCTGTCGGGAGTGCCACTGTGGAGGGGGGGGTACTCACGTCATTGCGCTGTGTTCTCCTGGCTGAGCCACGGCGCTTGACGCCTGACGCGAGCCTCGCCCAGGTCCTCATGAAGTTTGTGGGGGAAAACCGGCCAGCTGCCTTGGAGGTGCGATGCCCTTGCAGGAGCCCCTAGTAGCTTCTTGTTCCTAATAGCTTCTTGCCCCTAGTAGCGATGCCAGGAGCCCCTAGTAGCGTCCGAACGCTCCTAGTAGTACGGCCAGGAGCCCCTAGTAGCTTCTTGTTACTAGCTGCCTTGGAGGTGCGATTCTGCAATATGCTCCGTTCGTAGCGTCCGAACGTTTTAGTAAGGCCAGGAGCCCCTAGTAGCGTCCGAACGCTCCGTTCGTAGCAATGCCAGGAGCCCCTAGTAACGAACATTGTTACTAGGGTACAAGTAACATCAAGTCACTTCTATTTTAGGGTGGGGTACGTCATGTCGAGCCGAGAAAGGGGAGACAGCCCAGACAGCCCTGTCGCTCCCTCATGTTGAGTGACTTCAAGCTTCAGCCGACTTGAGATTCGACATTCTTTGTTGCCAGTCTTTGGCGGCCGTAGCATAATAAAATACGCTGGTTCTCTTGAAAGCTTTGGCTTTGGACCGCTACCAGCCAGCTGGTGCAGCAATGGCAATGTCCAAACGCCCAAAAAAGTCCAAATGCATCACAGCTCAAATCGTGTTAAGTTTCCTTAACCATCTAGAAGCCAACTCATTAGTGCAAGCGTCAGCTATCCTGCGTCCATATATAGGCGCGTCATGTACCTAGTAGCTACCTCAGTTCCTTAATTAAGTAGGCGCCTGCTTAATTAAGTAGGGAGGGGGGGAGCGGGCTTAAACAAAGAGTCCTTGCGAGCACTTTTCAATCTGACCCGCAAGATGCAGGTCAGCTGGAACATGCATGCTCCTTCTGCTTGGCCTAGCATACACGTTGATTTCAGATGTGTTCAAGCTTGTTTTCTGCTCTTGTTCTACACAACACCAATAAAAGCAGGAAACGAGCTTCAACGAAGCTGAACTCAAATAGAATTAGTCTTTATCAGCAACAGCACGTGGTTTGTGAACACTTGTGTTTAATGCAGGTGCCACTGCAGCTGACCAAATAGGGAGAGAACCATCCAAAACGCATATAGTTTGCAGTAAGCCTTCAGTAAGCTGGCCATCGCTGTCAATGTTCGCATCACATGCCCAGAAGAGAGGCAGTTGGTGACAAGCTGCTGGAGCTCTACATGCCTATGCCTCTGGACACTTGTAATTACCAACAGGCTTGAAGAGGAATCGGCCATCATTTGATTCTTTTCTAGTCGTTGCTTTCGTTGAGGCTTTCAGCGCATGGTTTTCGTTCGATCAATTTCCTCCGCAATGTTTCCTTCTCCATTTCGGTGGCTATTAGTAACAAGAAGCTATTAGTAACAAGTGCCACGCTACTAGTAACAAGTGCCTTACTAGTAGTAATAAGAAGCTATTATTGCTTTTGTGCGAATAGAGGAGCAGAAGGCTGTTGAGAGATTTGCGGTTCAGCGTCAGCAGTGGGATGCTGCGAACCAGACAAGATCTGACACTTTCATACACTTTCAGACCCAAACTTGAGGGAAAAAAGTCAGCGATCTTGCGCAAACTTGAGGAAATGGCCACTCCCAAGCCCTTCATTGACGTGATGATCGACCAAACTCCCAATTTGGCAAAGAAGTTTTGGTCCAAGGCCGTCCATGAGGGTCTGGAGTGAGGAGGCAGTTGTCAAGTTAGGATGTATGGGGAAGCAGACATCCCTCCAATTTAGTCCGGTTTGTTTCGACATACCCCTACTATATAGTATAGCTACTAAATCGCCATGTTGCTACACTGATTTAATGGAGCGTTCCCTATCCTCAGCACTCAGTACTCAGCCCATCAGATGTTTCAACTATTTGACACTTGCCAGAGTTACCTTTGGGATCTTGCAAGTAGGGCAAACTGCTTGCTACTGAAGCGTTTTCTGCCTCGGTTTGCTGTTTTTGGTCGCACAGTTTTTGTTGGCTCGCTTCAGGTGGACGTGTGGATGAAGTCTGTGAAATCAGCCAAAGGCGGCCCAATGTACGAATCTGCCTCTCAGCTTTGAAGTCAGAAGAGCACGGGACATGGTACCACAGTGTATAGAGAGAGGGTGGTGGAGTGACGGCGTGATAATGTGAAGTTCCTGTGAGCAGACCTACAAGATAACTCACACTAGAGATACGTCGAGGCACCGATAACTCAACGTCGCGGCACCGAAAAAAACGGCCGTTGGTAGATGTTGATCGGTTGCGTGACCACTTCGTCGATGGAGGGAAACCATGGGAGACCTCCAGTGAGCCTTGACGTGGTCCTTGTGAGCCGTGATGGTACACCACCGCTCAGCCGTTTTGGTCGAAGCTTCAGCGACACATTCTGTGGTGAGAAGACACCCTTGACTGGAACCAACATGGGACCAGGGACATTCTTCAAGTCAAGGACATTTGTCCAAGGATGTTTCACGACGTTTCACGATTTTTCACGATCACCCATGGATGAGACACATGCAGGTCTTGTACGCTGCGACACATGCAGTCGAAGGAATGCCGAGGCACAAGCCGGACGGAGCCAGACGGATGTCGAAGTGCGAAAGGTGGTTCCAGCATTGTCTATACTAGAATTAGAGAGGTTGTTCGAGAACATGAAGGCTAGGCTTTCAATCTTTGCTGATATCGGATAATGTCCAGCTACTCCGGGGAACCAATCTGCTGACCTCAGAACAGCATTGCCAGGGCTTTGGAAGAGAAAGATCTCGAAGACTTCTGCCGGAAGATGAAAGAGTGGGCTGAGTTGGGCAAAGGAGACAAGCTACTGAGTTGACCAAACATTTGCGATTTTGGTAGCTGTAGCAAATATATAGCTGCGACCGTCGGAATAAACATCTGGTCGCGATGCCGTTCCGCGGTTCCGCAGGTCGTCTGCATGCCATGACCCAGTCACATTTGGTCGCAGGTTTGACCCGAGTTGCAGGGGTTCTTTGCCACCTATCTTTGAAAGATCCCCAGAGTTTCCACGTTTGTTGATCATCTCATTCCTGTAAATCTCAGTGTTTTTGACAACACATATCTTAGAATGGCTGCATTCGTGCTAGGAGCAGCGCCGTCTTTCCGCCGAGTTCTTCACTTCAGAGTTTACTCACCTTTGGTCCCCTGCACATTTAAAATTAGACGAGTCTGAACAGCTGCACCCTGTCAGCCCTTTTTTGACCTTCTCCCCGCTAGTTGTCTGACTCACTTTCCATGCAAGTGGAACATGGTCACTTGGAAGATGACTTTCCCTTAACACACCAGGGGGTCTTACAATTCCATGGTCCATAGTGTTCGTCAGAGCGTCAACCGAAGGATCGACGATCCGGACCGCACTCAACTGCTGCGACAGCAGTTTTTCCTGTAGAGGAACCTCCATGGAAGACACCTTGAAATCGGCCGCCATCGTCGCCATCCGCTCAGTGCTCTCACGCGCCACTGGGACGGGGAGGTGGGGATCTTGGTGTGAGGATCGCCAGCTTTTCACCCACCGGCGCGGTGGATAAGGGAAGCCAACAACATGATTGGAAGAGAGTAGAATGACGGCCCTAAACTGGGTGAATGAAGGCCCTAAACTGGGTGATTCGGGAGCCCTACTGACCTCGATTTGGGACTTGATTCGATCATAAGAGGCCTTTGGGGCAAGTTCATGCCCGTTTCAATTTTGACCGCAACTCCTCGGAGCATTCCATTGGGGTCTTTGCAGAATGGTCGATGATAGAACGCATGGCACAAGGATTGGAACCTCATATTGAATACCTCCAGCTTGGCACACGCCTGCAGCCTATTCTTACTGTCCTCACTGCTAGGAAAAGGTTGGAAGTAGCAATTCGCCGATGCCGAGGATAAATCCCGGATCCCTGCCAACGTTTTGGATTGGATCAAGGACCAGTGTGATGAAGCCGGGCTGACTTGAGTTGAAGACGCAGAGTTATTGACCAGTGGGTGTTCATTTTGCAAAGGTTGCAGCGAATGCTCGAGGCTCAAGATTTAATTCGGAACTCTTAGAACCCAGAGACTCATCATTTCAATTTTGCTTCTCTGCTTCGAGAATGTTCAAATGGCTGACCTCTGACCGCGACAAGGGGACCCGAGCCTTTGCATCGGTGGCGGATGGTCTGCAGGCGTTGTACAAAGAGAAATTGTTGCCCATCGAGAAGGATTTCAGCTTTCATCACTTCTTCTCGCCGGAGCTCACAGATGCAGACTTCTCAGCCCGTCCCATGGTCATGTTGGTCGGCCAATACTCGACCGGGAAATCGACCTTCATCCGCCATCTCTTGGGTCGAGACTACCCAGGCTTGCGCATCGGTCCAGAGCCCACCACCGACAAGTTCGTGGCGGTGTGCAAGGGCGAGATGGATCAAGTGATCCCGGGCAATGCGCTGGTGGTGGATAAGTCCATGCCCTTTACTCAGCTCAGTCACTTTGGCAACAACTTCCTCACCCGCTTTGAGTGTTCCAAGCTGGACAGCCCCGTGCTGAATGGCATGTCCTTGATCGACTCTCCAGGCGTCTTGTCTGGGGAAAAGCAGCGGATCAAGCGCGGCTACGAATTCGAAGAAGTTGTGAAGTGGTTTGCAGACAGGGTTGATATGATCCTGGTCTTGTTTGATGTGTCAAAGCTAGATATTTCAGATGAATTCCGACGTGTGCTTCTTGCGTTGAAGGGGAACGATCAAAAGATTCACATTGTCTTGAACAAGGCTGACAGGGTTACGACGCCGCAGCTCATGCGTGTCTATGGAGCCCTCATGTGGTCTTTGGGAAAGGTGATCGACACTCCTGAAGTTTCTCGGGTGTACATTGGCTCTTTCTGGGATGAGCCACTTCAAAACGATGAGCAAAGAAAGCTATTTGAATCAGAAGAGAATGACCTCTACACAGCACTTGCACAAATGCCACGGAGTGCTGCCACAAGAAAGCTGAATGATCTCATCAAGAGAGCTAGACTTGCGAGGGTCCTCGCTTTCCTTTTGAATCACCTCAGGAACAAGACACCTTGAGCTTGCTTCAGATGCTTTTTCTCATTCTCAAATCTACCACGGTACTTGGAAGACTGTAGCTATAGTTCAGAGGTTTTCTCTACTTCATCACAAGGGCAAATTGGTGAAGAGAGGTATCGCGAGTGTTTTCTAGCTTAACCGTTCGGCTTAACCATTCGTTTCGGTGGTCAGGTGTGGATCAGTCCTACAGATTGTTTCAGCTTTCTGACCTCATAGGATGCCCCCCGTCTCCTTTGAACATGATTCGGATTCATGGTCGAGGCAACGGTAACGGATCCAGAAAAAGAGTCCGTCGAAGCTCTTTTCCTCTTGCGCTCACCGAAGGCTAGTTGCCTGTGGTCGCAACGCAATTAATTAAACGTGGTGAGCTTCCTTCTGGCAATAGTCCTTCCCAATTCATTCGAAGCTCCTGAAAAATAGCACTAAGAGCGCACTTAGGTCAGGTGCTGTGTTTCTTAGGCTGAGATGCCCGATCTAAGGATGCCATCCTTCATGGGGAAGAGCAAGGAGCAGAAGAAGCTCATAGACAACCTGCCGAACGTCTATGGGGAGATCGCCAAGGAGAAATCCTTGGCCATGGGCGACTTCCCAGACCCGCAACTGATGAGAGAGAAGCTGGAGAAGATGGATTTCACCAAGTTCCCCAAGTTGGATAAGAAGACTCTGGGCCTTGTTGGAAGTGTATGAAGTGATTCACAGTTTGGGATCATGTCGATCAAGTTTTAGGGCTGAACATTGTGCTGCACTTTCTTTGGGCACAGGGTTGGATGTGTTCCTGTCGTTACTCCCGTTCCTTTCTACCAATGCACGCTGATTTCAGTTCATACTGGATATTTAACATGATTACACATGCATTTGTACTGTATATAATAGTATATAGTATATACAGTACAATAGTTTCTTCACAAGATGCTTCTAACTTGCTCCCTTCTTTTCTGTTGGATTGGGGCTGATCTGCCAACAATCCATGTGGGAGTGCATTAGAAGAGGGAGTCCCTCCAGCTACTGGATTTGAAGTGATTGACTTTGTACCTGGAGGTCTTTTGAGAGCCTCCTGCCCTATGCCACTTCGACTCCCAATAGGGACCCCTGAAGGACTGTCTTCGGGCGCGGATTGGATTAGTTTTATATATTCTATATTAATAATAAAGGCGGTTGCAGCCCCTGATCCACAATCATCATAGGTTCTATATTTTTGTTAGCATCCAACCATAGATAAAACAACCATGCTTAGATTTCAAGTGTTTTCAAGCACTTGGGCCATACATATACAAGACCTCTGCTGTCCATTGTTGGGATTTTTTGAGAAGATGGATGGAAAGGTCACAAAATCATCTAGTTGGCGATCTTGCTGTCGTGTGAAGATGTTCAACCCACCAAAGACTTGTTTCCAGCTGAGGAAGATGGATGCTCTGGAGTCTCAGACGGCCAGCCACAACTTTTCTGTTTTCAATTCTTGTGGATTTATGCAGTCTGGAGCTTTCATGAGTGCACTAGCAGTTTGCTGATGTTCACCTTTGGTCCCAAACTGGATAGATTCGACAGTGTCAAAAAAAAATAGATGGATCCACCCAATTATGTAACTGTCCATTTGCTATAACGAGAGGTAGACTAAATAAATACTTAGAAATGAAATGAGTTCCTCCAATCTTTGGACCCACAGGGCAGCCACCAGCTCTTTCTTTTTGGTGTTCCAAGAGCAGAACACTTTTTTGTTCACCCTCTTGTCAAGGAGAAGATGATCCATGAAGAGCTTCCGCAACTTTTGAAGCTCACCACCGAGGAGGCCGCCTCCTCCCAGGCGGCCTCCATGTCGCAGCTGACCGCTGGTGCCTCGCCCTTTGCCGTCGCTTGGAGTAGATGGGCGGTGCTCCATGGCGGTGGCGGTGCTTGGGGATCGATGCTCCCGGGATTTGGGGGTGCAAGACCAGACAAGAGGAACAAGCACCCAGCCCAGCAGGTCAGGAGGGATTGGGATTTGGCTGTTATTTTCTCTTCGAGTTTTGGGAGGTGCAAGCATCCCATGTGTATCCACTTTTCTGATCGAGGGCATGCCAGGTGGTGCAGTGGTGCAGGACATGGTCGACCCTATTGAAATCATGGCCATGGGAATGTTCTTGAGCTCAGACAGCGACAAAGCTCTTCACCGTGCACTGCTTGGTAGAAATTCAAGAACACAACACAACACAACTGCGGATTTCTCACCCAATCTTTCCAGTCACACTTTCCCCCACAGGTCTAACAGCAAACCTATGACGGGGCATACATGTGAAGCATTGCACAGGGGCACGAAGACTTTTCAATCAACCAGACCTGTTTATTTGACAAAATGCAGGAAGCAAAAGACTCGAATTGCAGATGGAGCTGCCGTGGTCTTTCCCATGTTCGGATCGACTGCTGTTTGGGATATGAGATCCCAAGTCCAAAACCCAGGGTCCTCAAACCAGGGGAGCTGCTCGCCAGTTTTTTGGGTCTCTCTCTCTCTCTCTCTTTTGTTAGCCAGTATAGGGGTTCCACTGGTGAAACGGAGTCATGCTTTTTCCATGAACCGCAGGATGCGACTCGGACAATCCGGAGTTTGTTTTTTGGCGAAAGAACATCCATTGAGGTCATGAAGGTGGATGGCAAAAGCGAACGGACAGTGTACCAGGATCAATGGCTGCAGCCCCCAAATGTCGACGAATACTTGAAAGAGTTCGAGGAGATTGGCCCCAATAGCGCAGGCAAAATCTCTGGATCCCAGGCGAAAGTCGTTCTGGAGCAGAGTAAGCTACCTTCAAAGGCAGGGAGTTTTTTTCTCTATATATTTTACTATTTTGTTAAATAATATTTGTTCAAGTCAAGTGAGCATATTTTGTCCAATTAGCAACACTCCATTGGTTTTTCTTTGTGAACAAGTTGCGCCATGTCCAAGCTTGGCCTCTTCAGGTGCTTCATGCGATTTGGAACTTATCCGATGTAGACAAGGATGGCGCTCTGACTCAGGCGGAGTTTGCACTGGCCAAACATTTCATTAAGATGAAGCTGGAGGGACAAGATCTTCCGCCTACCTTGCCTCCGCAAATGGTCCCTCCGCCTGAAAACCGGGCCTGAGGTCGTTTTCCGCCCGTCCCGGCACACCGGTACCGGTGAGGGCTCGATACATCGCAGATGTTCGGTCAAGCCGATGTCTACATCGAATTAAGCTTTTGATATTTTGCTATGCACAGTTATGGATTATGCAATCCCAGAGTCAAGAAAGAGGTCGGACGACAGGCAAACCGAGCTGAGTGAGAGAACCAACAGCGCTTCTCTCAAAGCGCACCGACTGACAGGCTTTTAGGCGGCCTCAACATATATAGATTGGGAATGAATGGGATGCGGATCAGCAAGATTCTTGAGGATCAACGGTTCCACCATTTTGTTCATACTAATGTTCTCCTGTTGGTTACAACAGAAAGGATCAACACTTGTGGCAACATGGTGTTGAACAAACTGGTCACCAGCTGCGGCTGGGCTGGGAGTATTTGTGGACAACCTTCAGAACGGTGCAACGTCTACAAGGTGAAACAACCCAACTGTTTTCATGTATGTTCCCATGATGCCTCAGTGTCGTGTGGTCTCAACGACGGAGCTTTGCAGGAGATCAAGACCGGGGATGGCTACAGCCGTTCGTCGGCGGAGGCCTTCGTGGACGCTTATGAGGGCAGGACTCTGGAAGGTGCATGGGACTGAAAAAAACCGGATCTGGGAACTCGTGGGCGGATGTGAGAAAAGGTGGAACTCGTAGATTCATTCGTTTCTCCTGATCGAGCGATGACCTACAACCTAGTAGCGATGAAGAGCGATGGCCTCCAGTCTGCAATCTCCGATCGAATCGGTGGCCGGCCGGGCGGCCAGGTGCGTATGAACAGATCAATGCCTTGAACACGCGCTTCAAAGAGGCCTCACAACTGGGAGAAGCGGACGAGTAGGTGCTGCGGACGAGTCATCGACGAGTCGGCTTGTTTGGTGTGTTTAAGCTATTGAAACGAGCTCGCGGGAGTCTTTGGTTGGACTGTTTGGAGCGGTGAACACCAGGAGGGACACACCGACCCTACTCCCCCCCGGAGTCGGGTTTTCTTAGTCGAGGACTCCAAACCCAAACCCCCGATCTCCAGGCGTGTGTGGATATGGAAAGCCTGAAGCAATACGTGGATGAGAACGTCTCCGATCTTAAGGACTTTATCGCCTCAGTGGCCAAGAAGCTCCCAATGCCCGTGAAATTTACCACCGAGGAAAAGCACCTTGGCCCTGTCAAGTCCGTAAAGGGAGTTGGGCAGAATGAAACAGGTATGTTTGGGCTGGACATTGGAAGAGCGGAAGAGCCGTGGTTCAGTGCTGTCCGGAACGCTCAACGCTTAGGACTCTGCTTTATTGACAATGACTGCTCGCGAAGACGGGGTGTTTTTATTTTGACATGCACCTTTGTTGCAAGCTTGAATGTCCCTGATAGTAACGATCTCCAAAATTGAAGAAGGACGCATCAACGATCCCAACGCATATTGAATTCCAGAGCCCCGAGCTCTTATTGTTTCTTGTTTCCCTGGACCCCGTTGAGCCAACCTGGGCTTCTCCATGGGCACCACCCTGAACCGTCGGGTGTTTGGCCCTCACGGGACCACCCCGTCTTCGGCGGCACCTCACCCGGGCGCCTCTCGGGGTTTTCCCTGCTGGGCAAGTGCTCTGCGAGTGGCCCTCCGGCGTTGTACAATGTTGTACAGAGAAGCGTTACCAGCTTAAGATACCTTCGATGTGCGATAATTATGCTAGAAGGTACTAGCTGCGGAACTCCCCACCGCAAGAGCTCAGGTTCGTGGTCAAGAAGGCAATCTTGCTGCATTTTGAGTGCCAAGCACCAATTCGCACCCGATACTGCGCGCTGCAGAACGTTGCTTGGCCAAACTGGATGTGCGCCAAGCTGGATCGAATGGGGTGAAACGATGTGAAATGGGAATCCGCTGAATTCCCTTTACACATTTTTACACTTCATTCCTGCACCTGGTTCTTCTTGCTGTGGTGCACCTGGTGTTTTAACTCCATTTGTTCCGGACAGCGGGCACAATAGCATGCGAACCAGCATGCGGACGCGCCTGGCTGTTCTCCTTTCCATTGTCGGTTCAGCTTTGCACACTCAACACGCAGACGGTGGGTTCTTCAAAGTCTCAAACGATCAACCTCATTCCTGGTTGGCTTGAGAGTTTTAAACACACCTCCAAGAACCACTTCGAAGAATCCAACATAAATGTTCATCTTCCACCAAATGCCCTTTCCACCCATTGGCACCATCGTCCCCATCTCCCTTCCTTTTCCCTTCCTTTCTCCTCTGCCGTCTCAAGCGCTCCTTCGCCCGCCTGCTCGCTCGCTCGCTCGCTCGCTCGCGACTCGCGAGCGTGCGACCGTCCGAGGGTAAGACCTACACCACCGAGACCTTGGAGTGGAGCCGCTGGTTGAAGATGGGTTTGAGCGCCGCGAAGCTGGGCAAGTCGGTGCTCACCGCCGTTCCTCGGCCAACGTCCACGCCGTGGTCGTTCGGGGTGTCGACTTCACGGGGGAGTAGGGACTTGAAGATGCGAAGGAAGCAACAGCGACCAAAAGGGACGAGCGGAGTCACAAGATGTGTGACAGGGTAGATAGATGTATTATAGATTCGATATAGCGCCTCAATGATGTAACAAAACTAAATATTATGGATGGACACGATGGAAATGGAATCCCATTCATGACATATATTGGAGATAGCTTTTGGATGCTTTTAGTCTCTTTGGGGGCCTGGATGGTTTGATTGGAGTGTACTTGGAAGATGTTTGAGCAAGAGATCCGACCATCGGTCAACACCGCGATGCTTCGGTCTGGAGCATCCTTCAGTAGAAAGATGACACAGGCGATATAGCCAACCTCCAAAAGCGATTCCAACATATGGAGTTCCACACATGTGCCCATAGGTTTTGGCGATCGCTCAGGTGTACCACCGAACCGAAGGGGCAATCAACGGACGAGTCCAAGTCTTGAGTGATTCAGTCTAAGAGTTTGGGTCATGTCAACTAAGTAAAAGACGCTCAAGCCAGGGGGTCTTTTCAGCCTAGCTTTAACAAGACCCCCTGGCTTGAGTGTCTTTTGCTTAGTTGTACTTTCACAAGAGTTCGAGTACAGTTGGATGTTTCTTCTTCCACCCCGGTCCCAAAAAGAACCACGAGCCAAAAACGCTCGGTGCCTCTCGTGCCGGCGACAGGATGCGATTGCAGACCTGCCTGGAGTGGTGGACCAGGTGAAGGGCCTCTACAACATGTACACGCCGCTGGGAGTGATTTGGACACGGTGGGAGTCATTCGTTGGATCGGTCATGGGCTTTTCAAAACATTTGTGAGTTCCGGCAAACGTGGCGATGATGTCAGCTGTCATGTGGTACTGTAAGATCAACAGCTTTTTTTTTTGTTGTTGTTGTTGTTGCCTGTTGCCTTCTCAGACCTGGGAGGTTGTAGATGTTAAATCCCATGTTGACAATTGATGTCAACATTGGACAGCGAGTCGACCAGATGGAGATTGGTTGGAAGGTGTTTCTTTTTCTCCGGTGCACGCACCGCCCTGCACGGGGCATACCTTGGATTCGTGCAGGTTGCAGGTTCGTGAACTGCAGATGATGGTCTATTCATTTTGAGGTTTCTGCCTTCTAGATGTCTATATTACATCAAATCAATAAACTAATACCAGTCTAGTGACGAGAAACATTCCAAATCCCAGCAGATCGGGTAGAAGCGCTGAGGAAGGAAGATGGTGAAGATTTCTTGAGCTTCATCTCCGAAGCATGGCTTGAAGTAGTGTTTCCCTTCACCATCTATGAAGTTCTATATAGATGTTTGAGTTTGAATATATTTGATGTTTTCTTGCTATCACTGGGAAGTCTTCTTCAGCTGGTACGACTCACTGTATTGCGGGCCTGGCCTGGCAGGCGATTCTCATTTTCAAACCAGTTGTTGACCACGGTGAAAGAACACAAGCTGTCGAGCCATATGTCACTCATTTGAAGCCACCTTCGGAGCATACGCATGTGGTCTCAGGAGCCATTTTTGACCTCGGAAGAGCAAGACAAGCTGTTGAACCAGCTTCGTGCTGCAAACTTCTTTCAGAAGTTTCAGTACGACAACCAAACAGCTAACTGGATCTGTGCCAACTGCCATGCCATCTACTTGAAGGCACAACTCTGACGGAGACTGAGGGTGGATACCCTTGGCTCATCTTGAGACAGGTGCAAACCGTTGTAAGTTGTATAACTATACAGTAATCATATATTCTATAGAATATATACAGTTGTGATTGATTTGATACAAAGAGAATATGATCACTATTGAATCACTCGTGAAAGACACCCCTGTGCTTTTTCAGAATAATGGAGTCCCATTTCTCACAGCCACACCAGGCGGGCTCCAACCGCAGTGAGGCAGGCATTGAGGCCGCATCCTCTCACCCAGAGGCGGGAGAAATCCGTCAATCGTCCGCGCGGTTTTGAGGCGGCCGCCGAATCAAAGACCCCTTGCGCGATTTGCATTTGATCTGACACTTTGGCGCCACAGTTTGGGCCTGAAAACAGTTCCACGAGTCAGGAAAGACAGTTTGGTTTAGGAAATCCATGGGTATTCTTTCTTGGAGAATTCAATGGAGACCTTCAAAGGTCCTTCGTCCTTCGTCCAGTCTCCAGCGCTCCCGAATGTTCTCACCACAAAGAAATGGAGCCCTGAGTCCGACTGCTTTCCTCGTGAGTCTATGTGTTCAGGGTCCAAAACATGGCGAGTCTTCAGCTGTTTTTTCGTTTTGTTGCTAGTAGCGGCTAGTAACAAGAAGCTACTATAGGTGGAGGCCGCAGGTTGGAGGCCATCGCTAGCTACTAGGAACAAGTGCATCGCTTCTAGTAACAAGTGCCTTACTAGTAGTAAGAAGAAGCTAATAGTAACAAGTGCCACGCTACTAGTAACAGGTGCCTTACTAGTAGTAACAAGAAGCTATTAGAAACAAGAAAGCTATTAGTAGCTATTGTTCTCATGGACCACTTCTCCACCCCGACCCGACAGGTGGAGTTACCCTTCCCGTCGCTCAGCTTGGGCCAAGAGGGTGCGACCGCACAGGCGCCGAGAACGAAACACCCGGCCGCACCACGAATGGAGCGCCCCCGAGGGGGGCGAGGCTTTTTAGAATTGATGCGAAAACACCAGCAGAAAGCAGAAGGTGAGCTTTCCCCCTCATGCTGAAGGACCTACATAGTGAAAAAAAAATAGGAAAAAGGACACCCAAACAACCAATCTCAGGCTTATTCTACCATATTCTTCCCATCCAGCATTCCAGAGGCTCCCGGGCGCCTTCGCAAATGCGAACACCGCGCAAGCACCAGAAAAAAGCGTACGCCAGGAGCGTGCGGAAAACGCCATGGGCGCTGCCTTGGAGGTGGGACGTCGCCTTGGCGGCGGGCCGTGGGTTTGATATGGTTTGATCAAAGATAGTTGGCTATGGGCTATGGTACCCCAATTGATGAAATGAATGAAGTGACATTAGCTAAAACCTGTGTGGAACTTCATTGTTTGATTATGGATCAACAATGATCAAGGCAAAAAATGAAGTTCCACAGGTTTTTGCCAATTTGGCTTTATAATGGGATCCATTGGGGTTTCGCAGGCAGGTTTCTCACCCACTGGCAGCTGTCACTTGGGTTGCTTACAGAGTTGTCCCTTTGATGGAGCGACCGCTTCGTAGAACTAGATTTGGATTGTCTCAGCAACATTCCAAAGATATATAATCGCTGTTTTAGTAGAGCCCCCTGGTTGAACTTCACCATCAACTGGAATTGCAGGAATCGATGGCTGTGCAGCGATTTGGGTTGGGTTTTCTGGTTGTATATATATATATACTTCAATACAACACTCAATGGCCACACTATGTAACAACCACCCAAAGTACTTCCCAAAGTGTGGCTCAGGGTAGACTAAGAAGGGGAGTGGATTACGGTTTGTGGAAGAACCTCCCTCACACCATTTTTCCGTTCAGCCACTCTGGGTTTCAGCCGATGAGAGTTGGCTTTTACATGCAGCAAACATTCTGAACAGAAGGGAGAGGGAGAGACCGTCGTTTGACAAGCCTAGTCCCATTGCTCAAGTCGTTCATGTTGCAGACATGCCTTTCTTCCAACCTGGGTGTGGTGAACCCAGACGTCACTTGGGATGTCCCTTCCTTGGCATCAATGGGCATGAGGATTCTCAAGTGGTCTATGCACGGCAACGCTTTTGTCAATTTTTGTTTTGCTCATACAGATCTAAGGTAATTCGGAATACTCACGGCCGAACAAACCACTGATTATTTGACAGTATCAGTATTCAGTATTCATGTTTTCACTGCGAAAACAGGATGCCGCTGATGGTACAGCGTCAGCAGAGCGCACCAAGACATGAATACAAAATCAATTTATATCCATTGATCAATCCATTTATACTGTAAATAAGCCCGCGTCCTTTCAGGGTTGTGCCTGCATGAAGATGGCTTCCACAGCGGCCCTTTTATTCTTAGTGTTCAAAGGGGTTCAATCTGAATCCATATCATAGCATCCTTTGATTGAATCATGTATGTGTTTGAAGGGCTATAGGTCCCACAACTGGGGCTTTCTGCTCGCCATGTTGCCAGGTCAAGAAGACGACCATGGCATGCTGCTCCCTGTTTGGTATGAACCTTTGCACTTCGGATGGTGATGAGCTGCAGGTGAATTAGAGCTATCACCTTGCTGATGGAGGGGTATAGGAGGCCACAGAAGCAGGATATTGGCATATAATATATTGCTGCATTTTGCGTTGGTTGGACTTCCAAATCCCAACTTTCTGCCATAAACACTTGCTGATGCCTCGACGTACGCGCCACCTGTGCGTGTTCCAGCTAGTGCCACGAGAGGGTGTTGAAGGAACCTGCGAGCTATTTTGTGGATCCAATTTGAGCCTTTTGACCGTCATCTGGTGTGCCAAAATGGTTTCGCCTCCCTTGGCATTGGAGTTTTAAGACCTTGAGGTGACGCACTGATCGTAGTGGGCAATTGATTGGGCGATTTGGTGTCCTTGCTGTCAATAGATCGCTCGGTTGAAGGCCATCCTTGCCAATGGTGCTCCTGCTGAGATAGTAGGCTTTCTGGGCTGCTGAAGAGACTCTGACCTTTCTGCTGCAGATCTTTCCTGAAGGGAAAGTGACCAACCGAGGATGATGATTTGCTGACGCTGTTTGGACCTGTATGCTGTCAGTCTGTTTTCTCTTGTTTCTCTGATTCCCTCACGACTCACACAGTTCTGACTTACATAGTTTGCCTACCTATCCGGGAACCACACAGCTGGCTGTGCCGGCGCGAGCGCGGTGTTCTCCCGGACCCGGAAGACCCGCGTGCCCTTGGTTGCGGCAGATGAGTGGCACGGAGGCGCCTTCACAAGGATCCCAATGAGGGCCATTCAGTAGAGCCGACAGAGGAAAAGAGGTGAGCCGACCGTGGGTGCTGACCGACCACGGTCCTTCTGGCTCATGGACCTGAAGACCCTTTTGAGGGAATTAATTATCAGGTTTGTTGATACTTTGTTGAGCCTTTGACCAGCACATTTAATGGAGTGTACGTACACAATGTCTGAGAGGATACCCCATGATACCCCCACGTCCATTGTAGCGTGAAATCACGTGAAATCGTTTTCGATGGTTTAGTTTGCAAGAGTATTACTACACTCCATGTCCATCTCTCTATACCTGTGTGGTTTCTATGTTCGTGATTGCCTCCAGAGACTCAACTGCAAGTTGTGTGTGTCCTATTATGTCCTACTCACTGTAGCCAACAGGTGAAATCTGAGATTTCAACTGGTCGGGTTCCGAAAATTCCTCGTGTTCATCTACCCGAATTCCGTGATTTCTACCGGAAGCCAATCGAAGAAGAAAGAAAATACCCAGGGGGTGGACCGAAACTGCCCGGGACGGACGGTGCGCCGCGCTCCGCCACCGCGGAGCCGCTGCTCGGAGCGCCCGAGGTTCATCTCCATCCTCCCGCCCAGCACCGCTGGGGCGGACCAAATTGTGCGCGTGGGCAACTCATCGGGGGCAGAGGCAGAAGGATGGGAGGTGAGGAGTGGAAGTAAGAGGTGAAGATGGGAGGTTTGAACTCCCAACGCCTGGAGTAAGTCTCATCCCACAGCCAAACCCTTAGACCAATAAATTTTTGGTAGGGACCATGGGTTTGGCTGCGGGAGGGACCATATTTTCTTCATATTCATAGGATTACTGGGAGCTCTAGGATCTGTCTAAAGCTCTAGGATTACTGGGAGCCAGAAGTACTTGCATCATATTCTATATAGTATTTCTTTTGGTCCGCGCCATTCAGGAACCATTGTACTCGTGCCATGACAGGCTGAACACAGGTGGTAGATGGCGGTAGATCAGTCAGACTTGACAGACACTGGCACGTTTGATTGGAACTCACCTCAGGTGGTTGGAGACAACCGAGAATATGCCCGACAACTGATCCTGGAGCCTTTGCTGCACGAGTGGGCCGGCTTGGATGGTGGATTTGGTGACGAAGAAACCAAGAACGAGGGAGTTCTGGTGGAGTCTTGGTGGAAACCAACATCTCCAAGAAAGAAATCAGTGCCAATTGTTTTGATTATTCTCTCTCTCTCTCTCTCTCTACATATATATATATATATCATCCGGTCCACCTGTTAAAAAACACGCCCCCCCCTAATAAGGAAACCTCGGTCGCATTTTTTCTAATAGGGGGTCCCTGAAATCGGGGGGTCCAAAATAGGGTCACCTGGAAAGAGTTTCAACACCAAAAAGTAATCCAGGAAAATTGTATATAACATCCTTTATTAAACTCGTATCAAATGCCAAAAACCTCGAGATCGAAGGGTCTTCCTTTTCCCCTACAAAAAACTTCATTAGACTAGTGATTCTTCAGTGGACTAACAGCTAAAGTGTTGCATGACCTCGGTGGCAAGTGCGTTTGCGTGAGTCCGTGCAATGGGGGGAAGGAAAGCCTGCTGGTGTAAGCGCGGCGCGTCATGGTGGATAGATAGGGCGGACAGAGGTGGGCAGTTATGGTTACGGTTGTTTTTTGTACCTAATAAGAAAAGCCCTCCAAAATCGGCCATGTTGGTAGTTTAGTAGCGGCTTGGAAGGGCGGTAACTTAAAAGCAAAATATAAACCGTATTTAGGGGATCCGACATGACATTTTTTAAGCAGGGGTCCGTTTTTTAATAGGTACTCGGGATTACATATTAGTGTGTTTTTGTAATTTGTTTTATTACTTTTTGAAACGCCCACTAGCTACTTACAAACAAACTAAGGTAACCTGCTACTAGCGAACAGACGCAGCATAGAGCTTGCACTATTCACTATTCATTTGGTTCCTAGATTCACTTCAAAAAGAACAAGCAAACACTGTAACTAGAAGCTACCAGGTTGGAGGCCATCTCTACTATATAGGTTGGAGGCCGTTACTACTAGTAGCAAATAGCTACTAGCTAAAGTCTCTAAAGATCGACAGAGGGATCCTTCTTCTTAGAATGGCCAGAATCGCCTCCCGAAGCTCCAGAGGGCCGCGGGTAGATGCTCCATGTGTGGCACAATTGATGTTCTTTCTCCAATCTCTCACCCAGCCGGCATTTCATCCACCTCACTCCCAGCTTCGGCTCAACTCTTGCTTCTCGAGGAGAAGATCGAAGAGTTGAAGGTGCAGTTCCGCAGACCCGGTCCACACGGCCCGGAGCCACAAAGAGGAGCAGCGCGAGCTTCGCGCCGTGCTGGCTTCGCGCTTGGCGCTTGTTGTGCGCTTTTTGCGCGGTCTGCGGTGTGGAGAGTGAACGTGGTGTTCTGTTGACGTCAAAGAGGGAAAAAGATGGAACAGAACATGGAGGACATCCGACGGATTGGACGTGTGGAAGAGGGACTTGACCGGAAGGGACGCCTTAACAGATAGGGGGTGAAGCACATCGTACTGAATCCCTACCAGGCCCCAGTCCAAGGGCGAAGTAGACAATTCCTTGGCCTCATTGAGGACGGTTTTTGCATTTTCCCGGATCCAGTAAAATGAGATGAGGTCCGTAAGACCTTGTAACTAGGGAACCAAACGAAGTCGATCGAAACCGTAGACCAAGGATCAACCAGCAAATCTTCATACTTGCAGAACCTCAAGTGCCACCCCTCCGGTTGCTGTCCCCGATTCGACCACGACTCGGCACGTGCGTGGGCGGCGTTTCTCGCCAGGTGCACCCATGGGTATGGCGCCGAACCTGGGCCTTCAAGGCGAGTTTGAGATGACGTGACCCCGAAAGCACCCGAGGAAGATAGCCAAAGCATATCATCGAGTCATCGGTTGGGAAAAAAGAGGGGAAGGCAGGCGGCAGGTGGATGAGATTGAGAGTTGAGAGGCTAATCATTTACTTCTTAAGATTCTTGGAAGTGCAGAAAGCGCGGAACATCTAGAGGTCAAATGCCGGATGGCATGGTGCCAGGATGTGCCAAGGGGCACCTGTGCGAAACCAACTCGCAATCTCCATGTGATCACCACATGTCTGAGAAAGGTCTAGTGACTTGGAGCGCGTGTGTGGTCAAAAGTACCATCTCCATCAAGTCCACATCTCTCCACCTCTTCAGACATGGAACCGCCCAGGTCGCTTTGGCCAATCGGCTTTCGATGGGTTTGGCCAATAGGGCAAACCATCCCCCTCTTACCCGTGTGGGACGCAGCTTCCCAGCTTCGGTTCCGCTGCAGGTGGCTTCCCAGCACGGCCGAAGGCAGACAATGCCGGGGGGGTGCGGTGTGAGATTTGGCTAGTGGGTCAAGAAACTCTGGTTTCAGCAGGTTGGAGGCCATCAGGTTGGAGGCCATCGCTAGTAGGTTGGAGGC